ATAGAAAATCCTAAAAATTAGCCTTCTACAATTTTGTAATAACTAACCTAACATTTCGATGAAACCTATAAAATGGGTAAAGTCCAAGAAACCAAATTATATACATAATATAACATATATCGCTCACTGGGTACAATAGTGTCACATCACAAAATTATTAATTTTGAGAAAATCACCGATTTTTTTAAAATGGATTTAAAAGATTTATAAATTCTACCTCAACTCTTTTACTTAATTGAAACTTTAATATTGATATGTGTTTAAATTAGGTACAGTAAACGCCAAATCTAAAGAATCAAGGACGCGCATTAATAATGCTAAGAACACGCCTACCGATGAATAGAATTGGTAGCTTACCTAGAAAGTTGTAAACCAGGAGCGCGTATATTTTAAGACATAAAATAAATGAAAAATAGTGAATGATGCTTGTTCATACATATTGCTTGGTATTATTATTAGTACATAATTTTATAGGCAATTAAAAAAATCATTATTTTTAGGTAAGCCGACTTTAGGTTAAGGAGAGCTCTGGTGGTCTAGTATTTTGTATTTTAACTTATAAGCAAAATATGAAATAATATGTGTATGAAGTAATAAATCCTTCCGATTTTTTATGCCTGGTCCTCATTTCAAAACTGGATAGTCCAAATAACTTATTACATAAATTTCAGACAAACAAAAACATGTTTAACTTTATATTATATAGCCTATAAGTAAATACAAACAACGTAAACAGTAAAACACAAATAAATAATGTTCATATGTCTTCGTCAGATTCTTCGTTGGAAGAAGACTCGCCACTATCGTCACTGGAATCCTCATTAGGATTAATGACGATAGGATTAATTTTCGAACATAAATCAGTTTGTATTTCTCTTTCAAAAATCTTCTACCTTTATAACATGATCGCATCGCATTTTCCATTCCTCCATACCGATTTTGTTAAATTCCTCATCTGCTAATTGTTTTACGTCTTCTAACTTAAAGGTAACATTCCTTTGACTGACATTATTCTCAACAGTTCCCCAAAACACTTCGATAGGGTTCAAGTCGAGGTGATATGGGGGTAACCGTAAAGCGGTGTGGCCGTATTCTCGACACAACTCATCAAATGCATATGTTACATGTCGGTCCTTGTCTGTACATTGTGGTAACTATCACAAACAATTACTGAATTAGGTGGAAGATTAGGTATTAACTTTTCTCTTAACCATTTGCCGTAATTTTTCGAATTCATTTCGGAATGATAATCTCCAGACTTGGTCCCTGATTTGAATACTATTTTTGATAAAAATCCTTTTCCCCCCACCGTGAACTACAGGGTGTCTGTAAAAGGTCTTTACAAAAACATACCATATATTATTTAGGCAAAAATAAGTCGATTTAAGTAAAATTACCTTAGTACAACTTATTTACTTTAAAAAAGGTACTCTTGATAAGACTCGATTACTCTCATGGTTTTCGCTAAATTTCTGTTTTAATAATTTAGAGGGTATAGGTTTCACAAAAATATTTATTTACAACATAATCAAAATAGAGATTTTACAAAAATTGTTCCAAATGTTCACCATTTTCACACATACAAAGATTTATACGTCGAAGAAAATTAAAATGTATCCTTTCCGTAACTTCTTCATCACCTCTAAGATTGTTTATTGCATCTTGAATACGTTGCCAGAGTTGTTCCTCATTTTTTTCAGGTTCCCTGTAAACTGTGGATTTCAGATATCCCCATAAAAAGTAATCCATCGGTGTTAGGTCTGGGGAACGTGGTGGCCAGTTTACAGATGCGTCATTACCTCTGCCTATCCATTTGTGTGGATATTGTTCATTCAAGTGGTTTCTAACGTTTAAAGAAAAATGTGGTGGAGCTCCATCTTGCATAAACCACATATCTCTCCGAAGTTGGAGAGGTAAATCTTCTAACAATTCTGGCAACGTATTTTGTAGAAAATCCAAATAATTTTCTCCAGTTAATCTTCGTGGAAGTATGACATGACCAACAATGAAATTACCAATTATTCCAGCCCACACATTAATTTTGAATTCGTGCTGAAAATGGTTTACCTTTATTGCATGTGGATTTTCAACGGCATAAACATGTTCATTATGGGTATTAGTTATACCTCTTTTTGTAAAACCCGCTTCATAGGTAAAGTGAACCTTCTTGACAAAGTTTGGATCTATTTCTCTTTGCATATTAACAAATCGACAAAACCCCAAACGAATTTGAGGATCATGGACTAATAATTCTTGTACTGGCTTCTTATGGTATGGATATAGCAATTGTTCTCTAAGCACTTTATGAACGACATCTTTACTTACTCCTAGTTCCCTTACAATTCGTCTGGTGCTTAATTCTGGATCTTCTTCAACACGTTCTAAAATGTCTTCTTCAACTTCAGGAATTCTTACAAAACGTTCTCTTCCATTATCAACAGTGTTGGGAGTAAAGGAACCGGTCTCCCGAAGACGTCTCTCAACAGCAGCAAAAGTTGGGTGGCTAGGTACACGACGATTTGGAAACCTTTCAAAGTACACCCTGACACTCTCTCGAGCATTTCCTTCACAAAATCCTAATGTCAGTAACATATCGGTATATTCTGCATTGGTATATTGTACAACCATATTAATAAACCACGCATTTGTTTTTTTAATTATTGAGTCAGGTAGAACACTTTCAATCGTTAACAAGAGATTAGGTGTTAAAACTTGACAATATTTTTATTTAGATGAAACTATGGAAACCAACAATAAATGTTTTTGTATACGTATTGCAGGCAAATAATTAATATTCCTCAAAAAATCGTACATGGCAAGAATCGAGTATTTTTGTTAAAAGTCTCGATTAGAGGTGTTGAAGAAGATATGAAAAAAGTATATTTTTATGTTTTTCATCGTATAAAATTTTGTCCGATAATAATACATAGCCGTAGAATTTGATTTTTTAAATATTTGCACCTTTAAAAATTCTACACCAATGGCAAAAAGGGGTTTGAGTATGAAATTTGGATTGGGTACTCATTAACTACAAAAAGGTATCCATGATTACACTCCATTTACTCTCATGGTTTTGACAAAGTTTGTATTTTAATAATTATTGTTTATGTTCTAAAATTACTAAAATGCAAATTTCATCAAAACCATGAGAGTAATCGAGTCTTATCAAGAGTATCTTTTTTAAAGTAAATGAGTTGCGCCATCTAAATTTCATACTCAAACTCCTTTTCTTTCATTGGCATAGAATTTTTAAAGGTGCAATTATGTATTTAAAAAATCAAGTTCTACGCCTATGTATTATTATCTGACAAAATTTTAATACCATTTTTTTTGCCACCAATATACCAAATTTCAGCAAAATCGCATATGCCGTTTCAAATTTATATGGGAAAAACGATTTAAAAATTGTAACTTCAAGGCCCTCTGGAGCCCAAACGAAGCAACTTTGTTCTCAGGTAATTTTACTTAAATCGACTTATTTTGGTCTAAGGAATATGTAATATGTTTTTGTAAAGACCCTGTATACAATACTGGCACAATTCACATCGATCCAATAATATTAGAATTTATATTAACATTTTATTATACAATAGTGGCATACCTTTAAATGTGCCATTATTGTGTCACTAAAATTATAATATTCAACTAACCTTATCGTATTATTTAAAATATGCCACTAATGGGTCTTTTTAGATTCTTCACTCTTCGATGGTCACTTACACGCTGAGTTTTTTTGCCGGAATTGGCGCGTCATCGCTAACAAACGCGAGAAATTCCATAGTGGAACTTGTTCTATCTAGCAGTACCAGAGAGACAGAAAGAGAGATAGAGAGAGATAAATATATACCACTAAATATAGCAATTTTTAGAGATGTGCCACTATTGCACCCAGTAAGCGATATGGTTTTATGTTAATCACATCAGAAATTGTATGAAGAATACTTTATTTTTACTTTCATTTTATCGTTATTGGTGTTATCAACAAAAGTAACGCCACTATCAAAAACTTATTTTAGACCCATTTCAAAAAAAATTTGATTCAAAATTTTTTGTCAAAGAAATTACGAAGTTAAAAAGGTTATTTGAACATTTTGCTTTCTTATAATAATTATATATTAACAATGACAGAGTAGTCCAAACTCCTTTATAATTATAATTTAAGTTACCTCTATTATAATAGTTATTTATGTACCAAGGCAGGAAAATGTTTCTTTATTGAGCTAGTCTGAGAATATAAGTCGAGCGAGAGAAGCGAGCGAGGAGAGTAACAGGCGAATTTGATAAAGACACTTTGTAGACGTGGTCTATACAAACTTTTATCGCCAACCGTAAATAATTATAATTAATAAAAAACGAAATATTATAATAATAATATTAATAATAATAATAATTACACATTTATTGTCCACATATAAAGTACATATAGTACAGTTTATACAATTAAAAATATATATATATATATATATATATATATATATATATATATATATATATATATAAAAAAAAAGTCAGTAGACAATTGACCCAAATTGATTCAGGTGCGGATATTATCCACCCCTGGTCTTTCACCAATGCCAACATGATATAAAAAAATGCCATTCTTGGACCGGTTTCTTCCTCACTAGGACTCATCAGTAAGCAATAGACACGTTCGCTTCCAATCTCTTGATGTAGGGTGAGTGAAAATAAGAAGTCAAAAAGTAGCGTCATCTAGAAAGAAAAATGGCTAAATAACTTTCTGACTTCTTATTTCCACTCAACCAAACTTAAAGGTATATAATTGATTGTTACTCTACTACAGCTTCCATTAGAGATTTCTTGTTAATAAAGCCGAAATGGTCCAAGAATTAAATTGAAAATCATTTTCTCTCTCTGTTGTTTTTCTTTGCATATGCTGTTAGGTTATTATCCAGAGAAGTATATACTTTTCTGGCAATAATTTCCATAAATCCTAATTTACGCATTTTGTCTCAATAATTTGTTTCTCCTGCATTTTTCAGAAGATATAGGTTCTCCTCACCACCGAAAACCAATAAATATTTGGACCAACATTTGTTGGTAGTCCATAAAGTTGGATGTAACGAGAAGTTTGGTTGTAAAATTGAAATTCTTGGCGAGGTAAATAAAAGTTTATCAAACGTGAAATCGAGAACGAAGGAAGGAAAGCAACTTTAAGGAATTTTTCTTTGATATCTTGTTGCCTCCCTTGTTCGATTTAAAATAATATTGATGCCGCGAAAGATTATTAAGCTTCTTAAGATGCTTTTAAAACTTTTTTGAGAAAGACTCTTTAGGGTTTCAAACTAAAACTAATGACTACTAAAGTATGCCAATTTTAATATAAGTTTCGTGTATATTTAAAAACTTTATAGCTCATATGTATTAGAAATTTAAAGGAAAGACAGTTTTTTACTATAAAAAATAACGTATGGATATGAATCCGTGATAACTCGAGATGTTTTTGGATTCTTTAATAAATTAATAATTTTAAAAGATTCATATTGAAGCAAGAATTAAAGGAAAAATCGAAAGAAGAATTGAAGGAAGAATTGAAGAAAGAATTAAAGAAAGAATTAAAAAAAGAATTGAAAGAAGAATTGAAAGAAGAATTGAAAGAAGAATTGAAGGAATAATTCATGGAAAAATTGAAGGAAAAATTAAAAGAACGATTAAAGGAAGATTTAAAAGAAGATTTAAAAATAAAGAAATAATTGAAGCGATAATTAAAGAAAGAATTGAAGGAAAAATTAAAGAAAAAATTAAAGGAGGAATCAAAGGAAAAATTAAAGAAAGAATTAAAAATAATTGAACAAAAAATTAAAAAAATAATTGAAGAAAGAATTGAAGGAAGAACTGAAGGAAGAATTGAAGGAAGAATTGAAGAAAGAATTGAAGGAAGAATTGAAGGAAGAGTTGAAGGAAGCGTTGAAGGAAGAATTGAAGAAAGAATTGAAGGCATTGAAGGAAGAGTTGAAGAAAGAATGGAAGGAAGAATTGAAGGCAGAATTAAAGGAAATATTAATGCAAGAATTGAAGAAAGAGTTGAAGGAATAATTGAAGGAAAAAATAAAGAAAGAATTAAAGGAAGAATTGAAGGAAGAAATAAATTAAAATTTGAAGGAACAATCGAAGGAACAATTAAAGGAGGAATTAAAGGAGGAACTACAGGAAAAATTAATAGAAAATTAAAGAAAGAATTAAAAAAAGAATTAAGGAAAAAATTGAAGGAAGAATTGAAGGAATAACTGAAGAAATAATTGAAGGAAGAATTAAATAAAAATTTAAAGGAAGAATCATAGGAAGAATTAAAGGAAGTAATGAAGGAAGAATTACAGAAAATATTGAAGGAATAATTAAAGAAAAAATTAAAGATATAATTGAAGGAAGAATTAAAGGAAGAGTTGAATAAAGAATTGAAGAAAGAATGGAAGGAATAATTTTTCATTTTGTAACAGTAGATATGACAAGAACTAATACAATGTTTAAAAAATATTTATAACTAAAGCAGAACAAGAACTAATATAACAATAAGAAACATTTATAACTAAAGCAGAGATACTAACAGAGTAGTTTATAAAAATTTACATCTAAAGTAGAGATAACTAATGGAATGGATAAAAAATATTTGTAACTAAACTAGAAATAACTAATATAATAATTAGGAAATGTTTGTAACTAAAATGTATGAACTGAATAATTATTAAAAATTTTGTTTTACTTTTTTTCTGGGACGTTATAAAAGTTAAAAGTAAAATTGTTATTATAACATTTACTAAATTGCAGTGGATTTTGTAATGTTGCATTATTATTATTCTCAGTGATTCCCCTAATATATTTGTTTATTGTCTCTTGTGGATCTACATTAATTAGTTGTTGTACAGATGAAATACACACTTGCACTGTATCTGGATTGTGTAGTTTTCAGCATTTTGTTCAGAGTATTGTTCAATGTTTTAACATGCAACTTCTTCGTTGAATGTGCTTGTGCTGCGAATAGTGTTAATTATTTTATTAACAGTCATTAATCTATTAGTTGCAGAGTCATCTATGTACTGCTAGGCCACGGTAGAGGATTTCCATCCCTCGTGACGCTTTAATGCAGCAAGATCGACTCCTGCATCTACCAAAATTGTTGCAGAAGAACGCCTAAAGGTGTGGCCAGTATATTGTTCTGGATTCGGAAGATTTAAAAACTTTGCCACTACCTTTGACACAGTGCCTATTTTGTTTATACCCACTACTTGTTGGGTGCATTTTTTATTTTCATAATTAAGACAAAAACCTTAGTTGAGTGGTTTGTGGCCTAAGATTGGCATATTTTTCAAATATGGTATAAAACGGTCCAGTAATCGTGAATTTTCTGGATACTTGGTTTTTGTGTTATCTATTTTTATCACAGCTGCTGTACCCAAATCCTCTATATCGTTTATAGTCAACTGTGTGAGCTCTTGCTTTCGGCATGCTCCTGATATTCCAAGGATAAGTGCAACCTTAAATAATAAAAAATACTCACACATTGAACAAAATAATAGATATTAAACTTGCTCACCTTTGTAAATAAATATAATTCATCTGGAGCTGTTTCTATGAAATTATTTATTTTTTGTTGCTACAGGACTTTGGATTTTTTGGTTTATAGCCATCACTTTTTCTCTTTAAGAATGCCTTTAATTTTAGGTACTTAGAAATATCAACATTGTGTTCAATAGACAGAGTAGTTCTCAACATTGAGCACTGTGTCCACAAAGTCGAAGTTTGTACTTTTGATGATAATTCATTTATATAGGCCAGTAGAACATTTTCAGAAAACGAACTCTTTATTTATTTCCTTTGTCTCCATTTAATGAATTGATCATAAGCTTATTGATACCTTACTCTGGATTTAGCAGGAAACAATTTGAGCGACGTGTTTTTAGCAGCTTCTGCTATTTCTGGAGGCATACATTCGGAATCACTGGAATCTATTTTTTGTGGGCTCAGTACAATTTTACAATAAAATAAAATTTTACAAAATGACTGCTTGTGTGTTTGACAATCAATACCACAGCCTACTTAATCTAATTTTTCAAATTTTTAAACTTTTAACTCACCTGTTTGGTTTAGTATAATCACAATAGCCATGAAGAATAAGTTTTCCTTCACTTTCTTTTAAATGCATTAACCAGTAATATTTATAACACTTAATTTTAAAGTTTGAATTATCTTGTAGACACTAGTATGTATTTGAACACAAATCACAATAAACTTTAAATATTTTTAAACTAATAGACACCTACAGAAAGGTGTATTTTAAACACTAACATAAACCTAACCTCAAAAATTCACATTGTTGTATTTGAAACCGAAAAGAACACTATAGAAAAGAAGAAGAAAATTATTTTCTTTCCAGAAGTACCTTTATAGAAAATTTTTTTTCAGTATTCGATAAATAATAGTGAGTAAACATGTTTTATTATTATTTTATAATTTTGAAAACCTATATAAAAAACTTTATTGCTCATTTGATATTATATAAAAATTTGTAATGACAATTATAATGATAACTTTGACGTACATGTCACAGGTCATAGGACGATATTTTTTTACTTTTCAATACATGTGTCTTTTGCTATTTTTCAATACATGTGTGATATATATTTCAGTACGCGTGTGATATAAGCTACTTTCTTAAGAACAAATAAGTGTGCAAACTATCATTTTCGTATGTAATTGTAGGAAAAGATATATGTTGTGAAAGTAAATAAGAATTTAAAATAAATAGGAGTTGTATTTAGTTATAAAATAATTGATTTGTAGATAAATTAGTGAATTAAGGGTAAATAAATTAACAAAAAACTGTTTTAAATAAATAACATTTTTAACATATTCTGGTTGTTGTAGTATGGAAATATAAATAAAATTTCTCACTCAGGGCTCAGTATTTTCCTAGAGAATTTTCATTTTTATATACCAGCATAACAAATTTTTATTGTACGTATTTGGATATTATTGTATTTTAATGGCAAACAAAATTACTATATCAACTAAAAAGAAAGAAAAAAAAACATATAGGCAGCACTGTAAATTTGTGTTGCAAATTTGCTCGATCTTAAGACGACCACATAACAATTTTCGAGTTATACAGAAAAATCTATTAATTTATAGTTTCAGAAGACTAAAACTTTTTTTTGTATATGGGCTAATATGGCTTTAGGACATTCTTTTTATTTACACTCTGTATATTATGTTTTTAATATTTACAATTTTATTAAGTAGAATAACGTCCGGTAAAATAATAACATAATAATGAAACAAAATGATATGTCTCCTATTTCATATAAAACGTTCATAATTTTATTTATAGCTTGTATAAAAGTGTGTGTAAATTACCAAAATGGGCCATAAATTACTTTTTATTTTATTTGCGTACACTTACATCCCAAAATTTTCATGAAAACAATATTAAAATTCTAATAAAGCGCATTAATCACTTTGTTGATGTGTCAAAAATTAATGCAATTTTGATTAATTCGAAACTGATGAGTAATTTGGTTAAAGCTTTATCAAACCCTAAATGTTCTGAATTTATACGCAATATTTATATAGGGTGTCCCAGAATTCTCTCGTCAAACGAAAACTGCAGACATTAGACTTTGTGTCGAACTAACCTAAATTACCTTAATTCAAAAATATTTCATGAGGGATCTATTTGAAATTGGTGCCATCAAGTGAATTGTTTAGCTATTTAATATTTGCCAAAACCAACTTGGAATAGTAATAAATTAATTTTAATAGTAGTAGTAGTCTTTGACATAGATAGACGTGTTTTAAATCCCTCTGAAAGTTTATATGAATTTATTTTGTTACCCAGTGGCGTATCCATTTCATTTTAAACTGGATACAATGTCTAGTGAAATTAAATGTTTTTGCTGCAAAGTTGTTTGTGACGCAACAAAAGTTGTAAATTGTAGTATTTGTGAGAATTCATTTAAGCACACATGCGTTGGTCTTACTTTCAATGACCTGACAAGAGTGGCTAAAAATGGGGTAGCCTACACGTGCCCCAATTGTTTGGTTGTTAGTGCCGAAATAAATGAATTACGTTCAGTTATTGTAGAATTGAAGAAAGAAGTAACCGAGCTGAAGGAGTCGTTATCAACCAGAAACACTGTTACACCTTCTAATATTGAAGGCATGTCACTTAATAATATCGTTAATGAAGTATACGAAAGACAAAAAAGGCAACGTAATCTACTTCTGTTTAATGCCCAGAATCCCAAGAGAGAAATGCTCAGAAATGAATTGAATCTGATAATCAAGTGGTCCGTAATATCTTAGGTCACGTGTTACCTGAGAATGCTATTGATTCCGACATAAAACCTATTAGGCTAGGAACATTTGTTCCCGGCGCTAAGGCTAGACCATTAAAATTATGCTGGCGGATAGTCAACATGTATTTAAATATTTAAAGAGTTCTAAGAAACTAAAGGATGGTATCGTCAAGTTAGTATAGCTGCTGACCGCACATCTATGTAGTTAAAGCTTTATAAATCTGCCAAGGAAGAACTAGTTAGACGTTTGGAAAAAGGTGAGGAAAATATAAAAATCAAATATGTCGACGGAATGCCTACAATTGTAAGTAATTTAAACTAGAATTGCTCATTGAATTTTATAACATATATTATCAAAATGTTCGTGGATTAAGGATAAAGATTGAAGAGTTTTATACAAGTATTTGTTCCAATGATTACGATTTTTATTTTATAACGGACTGTACCCCGAAATAAGTAGTTACGAATTCTTTGATCAACGATATAATACTTTGTATTGTGATAGACGTTACGAAATTCTGAATGTCATTAGAGGCGGTGGGGTTTTTTTGCCTATAAGAAACACTTTAAAATTACAAAAATTAACTGTTCTAGAGTTACTAATTTAATGCCTAATGTTGATATTACTAGTTGCAAATTTTACTTTGGAAACACAGTTGTTCATATGTTTGTAATTTATAACCCAGATCTCACTAAGCCCATGTTTGAAGATCTATTTGATTTGCTTTCAAACCTCGTATCTGTATATGAAAACATAATTATGATTGGCGATTTCAATGTACCGTCCTTTAACAATGTCAACGTTCACGATAGGCAAAAGACAATTCTCAACGATTTTGTTCATTTATGTAATTTTAGTCAGTTTATTAATGTACCTAATGCTCTAAATAGACTATTAGATTTGATTTTGTGTAACTTTGACTGCAACTTTCGTTTATGTCGAGAAACTTAACCCTTAGTATCAAAAGATTTTAATCATCCTGAACTTGTTGTAAACTTTTCAGTCAAGACTGATTTTCACGTTAATTTTTAAGTGAAAGTTACAATTTTAGGAAAGCTCATTTTCCAAGTCTATACAATGCTTTGGACACAATGAACTGGTCATTTTTAGATTCTTATAATGATGTTAATTTCGCATGCTCTAAGTTCTATTCTACAATAAACTCGCTTTTTAATTTATTTGTTTCATTGCGCAAAAAATGTAGTTATGATTACCCTCCGTGGTTTGATTTAAGTTTAATAAAGAAAGTTAAACAAAAAGACTTTTTTCATAAAAAATACAAAAGAACTAATAATTAATTTTATTTAAATCACTTTAGAACTCTAAGAAGAGAAATTAAAAAACTGCATATGATGATTACCAGAGTAGAAAATTCTATTACGGATGGTCCTAAACAATTTTGGAATTTTGTCAAAAAAAATATATCAGAGATTCCGGGAGTCTTACATAAGGACAAAACGCTATATGACAGTCCTGAAAGTATTGTGGATGGATTTGCTGATTATTTTAGCAGTGTTTATACTCCTCCCTCTGAGCATAACCTAAGCGATAATTTTAACTGCTTCCCTAGAATTAATATACAAAAATTGACTTATGTGGATATAATCAATACTATGAATAAATTAAATGCTAAAATTACAGCGGGTGATGACGCTGTACCCAGTTTTTTAATAAAAGACTGTAAACATAAAACGCTAGCTGATCTATATCAGAAACTATTACTGTCGCAAGAAGAGAATACAAAAAAGTGATTAAAAGTATTGAGACTAATAAAGCTGAACTAGAAGAAAATTTTGGAAATAACCGTAAAAGAAGTCAAAAAATTGCAAAGTAGAAATATTAATCTGGAACGGAAAATAAGAAAAAACATTATTATTATTTTCGGGATTAAAATTAATAAAGAGAACATATTAGTAGTACCTTGGAAATGCTGAATAACTTATTCCAAACTAACTTCATAGCAAGCGATATTAAAGATGTTTATTTCATAGGGCGTACCGAAGAAAAACAAGGAGTTTTGGTTGAATTCGTTACATTTTTTCAAAAATTGAATATATATAAAAACGTACAAAAACTGCAAGGAAAAAACACTTCTGTTGTTAACGATCTTTGCCCGGAAGACCATTAGAGTCATAAAATTTTAATAAAACACTTGAAAAAAGCAAGAAGCCAAAACAAAGAAGCAAGAGTTAAAGGCTTTCGATTGTTAGTAAATGGTAAATATTATACGGCTGAAGAATTGGAAGAGGCAGCTACAGATAGTACCGAATACGAAACAGACGAAGAAGAAGAAGAAGAAGAAGAAGAAGAGAGAAAACTTGACACAGATAATAGCGTGAAGGGAAATTCGAATTCAAATCGCAAAAGAAAAAATCGAGACATAATATCGAGTTCCGAAAAAAAAAAAAAAGAAAACAAACAAAGAAAAAAGAAAAATAAAGGACATATTGGTTTTTCAAGATCAACACGAAGTACCAAAAATTTTTAAATGCTCCTTATAAACCGGTAGGTATATTTATTTTAATTGTAAGAGATAGCAAACGCATAAAAAGACAAAAATTATTATCATTTTCTACTCTGAATTTGGGCAAATATAAATACATTTAAATTACAGGTATATCATTATAAAGTTCTTTGTTTATTTGGACATTATTATTTATATATGTTTTCTCTTTTAATTGTACATAGGCCGATGATCACATGAATCCGTATATACAAGAATATAATTATCAACCCATAAAAGCATTATAAATTAAAAATGTAACAGATTTTAATCAATTTATTTCGAAGGATACAAACTGTTTTAAAATATTTCACACAAATATTCGAAGTGTTTATAAAAATGTTGATGAACTATATATCTATTTAAGTCAATTAATAGAAAATGTCGAAATAATTGTCCTAACTGAAACATTTCGAATATTTGATAAAACAATTTTTGTATTACAATATAAAATAAAGGAGAAAATAATAGAAATGATAGTAATCTAATTTTTATAAAAGAGCATTTAGATTATGAATATTTTATAGTTGACATTGGCGATTTAAAAGCAGTACAAACCAAAATTGCATTAGGATCTAAAAAAATATTAATAACGTCAGTATATCGTTCGCCAAATGGCTCAATACCGATTTTTATTGATAATTTAAATTTGTTTCTAACAAACAATAGACACAATTGTGATTGTGATTAATATACAGGGGACATTAATATTGATTTGTTAAAAGATAATGACGAGCTTACAGAGAACTACAAAAATATTCTAGAATACCACAATTATGTATCGTATATATATGATATTACGCGGCCTGATAGTTCAACATGTTTAGACCATTTCTATGTAAAGGCAGATTCACTGGAGCAGGAACGTTTTAAATCTTTTATTTTTGAAGACAAAATCACTGACCATCGACCGATAGCACTTCTACTCGAATTAGACGAAGAAAAAAATTACGCGGACGAAGATGCTTTTATAAAATATATTAATTATAATAAATTAAAAAAAGATCTACAACAGGAGTCATGGAATAGTCTTTATTTAAAAAATAATTCTAATGAAATTTCAGAGAGTTTTATCAATACTCTAAAATTATACATTAACCAGAACAAAAACGAGGTAAAAGTAAAATTAAAAAATAATAGTAAAAATTGGATTACACCGAGCCTTTTAATATCTATTAAAGAGAAAAATAAAATGTACAAATATTTATCAAAAAATCCAACAAATATTCAATTACAACAAAATTATAATCAGTATAAAAATAAACTAAGCAGACTAATTGAAAAGGCCAAATAATTGTACGTACAAAAGGAAATAGAAAAAAATTCTAACAAGTCAAAATCTTTATGGAACTGTGTCAATCATATTTGTAACAAAATAAAACCTAAAAAAATAATAAAAAGTATTAATATACAAAATCAAATAATAAAAAAATTATTGCTGAAGAGTTTAATAAGTTTTATTGTGAAGTTGGGGAGAACTTAGCGAGACAAATTGTAGAGTCTAGCAATTTCAAAGAAAAAACTATTGCAATAAATAATAGCTTATTTTTGTATCCGACTAACGAGGAATAAGTTCTTAGTTTAATAAAATCTTTAAAATTAAAAAAATCACCAGGTCAGGATAATATTAACTCAGACCTTTTAAAAAACGTATGTAATCAAATCGTATCACCTTTAGTACACCTTATAAATAGTACGTTTTACACAGGATGTTTTCCAAAAATATTCAAAACCGGGTTAATTAAACCGTTATTCAAACGCGGAGACGTTGAAAAGATTGAAAATTATCGACCGATCCCTTTAAGCTTTGAGAAAGCTATCAAAACGCGTATAATAAAATTTCTAAATAAATTTAACGTTCTTTCTAATAACCAGTATGGAATCAGGGAGGGGAGATCGACACAAGATGCCATACATGCATTAACTTCAGAAATATATTCCTCTTTAGATAAATCTAAACCATCACTTTGTATCTTTGTCGATCTCTCCAAAGCCTTTGACACGGTATGTCACAGTAAATTACTAGAAAAATTGAATCAAATTGGAATCCGTGGAAATACATTATGCATTATTTAAGAGTTACCTTTCAGGTAGGGAGCAGGTGGTAAATATTGAGGGTACAATAAGTTCTCCAAAAATAATTACATACGGAGTTCCTCAGGGAACGGTGCTAGGACCAATACTTTTTACTATTTACATAAATAATCTTATGATACAAATGTCAGTGGGTAAAATATTGAGTTTTGCGGATGATACTGTGATATTGTACCAAGACCATAACTGAAATGACTTAAAAAAAATGCTGAAAAAGATTTTCAAAATATTATTAACTGGTTTAATTATAACAAACTAACTTTAAACTACGAAAACACCAAGTACTTACCATTCGCCTCTTATTCAAATGGACTTCCAAGTATGGGACCTCTAACAGTATCTGATAAAATTAAGATTCCAGAAGCTTCGTCTATTAAATATTTAGGTATTGCCATCGATCGACATCTAA